TTCTTGACCAATGTGGTGAATGTGTGAAAGATAATATATAATTAAGAATGGAAGAGTGAAGAATGGAACAGTGAAGAATCGAAGCGAAGAGAAAGAAGAAGCAGAAGCAGTTGAAGGAGACAGCCAGCGATCTGTCGGAACATCGACCCCATCAACACACAATTGTTATAGTTAATTATGTATTTCCATGTTGCCATATTCACATAGCACAACAGCAACAAATCATCACTGCCCCATAGAGGTAGGGAGATTCTGCCAGGGCGGAAGGGTTTTCCTGTAGGCCCGTTCCGTGCCCTCATAAGAGTGCACGAAGACCCATTATTATTATTAGAATAAGGGTTATCCAGCTTTTCAGAGCGAAACGCGTACTAGTAATACACAGGGCGACATCATCTATAGCAGGCAAAACGACCGACAGTCAGTATTTAAAATAAGAATTGGAGCGGAATAATGCAAGATCGGTAAGAAAATAAAGTAAAGGAACTACAATTTTTTATTTTTTTTTATTGCTTATGTGGGTCGGCGAGCTCACAGCCCACCTGGTGTTAAGTGGTTACTGGAGCCCATAGACATCTACAACGTAGATGCGCCACCCACCTTGAGATACAAGTTCTAAAGTCTCAGTATAGTTACAACGGCTGCCCCAATCTTCAAACCGAAACGCATTACTGCTTCACGGCAGAAATAGGCAGGGCGGTGGTACCTACCCGCGCGGACTCACAAGTGGTCCTACCACTAGTAAACTAGTACGGATGGGTGATGGGACGCAGTAGCAGGGCGGATTCTCACAGCCATATCGTTTGAATTATATATGAAAAAAAAATTCTTACAAGATCTGGCTATATAATTTTGGGTATCTATGAATAATTTGATTTTAAGCGTTTTTATTGATAACTAAATTATTTGAATTCATACAATAATTAAAAGCAATTATTAACACCTTTCTGAAGCGTGTTTCCCTCGCAGTTTTCGTGGTCGTGCGGTCAAATTGTTTCATTACTCCAATTTTTATTGCGTGTATTGAAAAAGTGCTACGAGTTTCATATAAATAAGATCTGGAACTCGATAAGGGAAAATGAAATTTGTAAAAAAACCGTATAAATTTATCGTTCAGTTTGATGGCGTACTGTGCATTTTTCTGTTGAGTATTACAACGATACGTTGTTATCATATTGTGATGTTGCTTGCACTATTATTCGTGGGTTTGTAGATTTTTTGTAGATCGCATCATTTTTATTTTTTATACTAGCTGACCCGGCAGACTTTGCAGTGCCTCAATCGACAGATAAAAAACTTAAAACAAACAAAAGGAATCCGCCCGATGGGGGACACATCAAAGGAAAAACAAAATTGTTATTTTTATATCATTTTCTTAATTATATCTACCTTTTAAACTTTCTCTGGACTTCCACGAATAATTCAAGACCAAAATTAGCCAAATCGGTCCAGCCGTTCTCGAGTTTTAGCGAGACTAACGAACAACAATTCATTTTTATATATTTTTATCTTATATTTGAATTTATTGTATCAATAAAGTTAAGCGATACGATACTAAATTTTCAGTTCTGACAATCACGTTTATTAGCGTTGATAGCCAACATGGAATGGATCTAGAAGGAATATTAGAGATACTGAATTTTTTTAATACGAATCATTTGAAGCTCGGTAATAATATAGCTATATACAATCATAGCCACCGTATTGAAGAAAGTACAGATAAAAGTTTTAGCGACATTATTGATAACAGTCAGCAAGGAGCCATGACAAGGGACGATATTAAAGAATTAATTAAAAAAGCTTCCGAAGGAAATACATTGAATAATCGGTTGAAAATCGTATCCCATTCTGATTTGTCAAAATCATTAAATTCAGCTCATAATAGACATGGACACTTGAATCAACAAAACAAAAAGTTTAAAGCAATCGAAACAAATGATTTGAAAAAAATGTATCTGGATTACAATGAGGATAAAAACCACGAATATCATACCAAATACAAAAAGCATCTGTATCCAGGCAACAAATTGTCGGATCAACGTTTAACATATTTACCGAGAAACCCTAACCTCTACAATAAATCACATAAACGAGGAATAATAAATGTATCTGAGAAAAGGATTATGCCAAGTACTTTACTTAAATCATATACGAATGATAATAATGATTACGGAAAGAAACAAGACAAAGCCTCCAGTTTAATTTTGGTTTTAGATCCTGTTATGCTACAGAATAGTAAAAATCGTAATGTAATCAATAGCCTGTGAGTACCTTTTGTTTCATATTTGACATTGATGACCTATTTTACCCAAATTTGGATTCTTTGATTCGTAGAATATCCAGACTGGCGAATTTATCTCCAGGCTTTCAAAAGAGCAGAAGTACAAGGGATCAGCATAACAAAGAATTCCTAGAATACGCGAGACGCTTTAAACTCAGTTCAGACGAGAGTAAGTAAATGTGGTTTCTTACATATATTATATGTGCGATCACTCTTATTAGTATATACTAACCACGATTTGAAACGTTTCGGATGTGTTATTTCTTTCATACGAATTCTCTTACTCATGACCTTATTTGAAAATAAGCTTATGACTCTTTGATTTTGCAAATATTTTGTTTGAATGGATTATAGATTTGAGTTATCACGGGTTATTTTGCTTGTTCTTATTTTTGAATGTTCATATTTCGTTTCGAATTCGCTTGCAGTGTATTATAGTATTTAAATTTACTTCATTATCTAATAGTTTTATTTATTTATGATCCAAACGTATTTCAGTGAACAATCCTAAGGATTCCCAGGAGGACTACAAGCCAAAGAGATCACGTGAAGATCGTCTCGCGGGACGCACAGCCATCCCATACATTAGTCATCGAGGTGACATATTTGAAAGGGAATAGTAAAATAAAAACAATTTTCCCAAAAAAACCTTTTGTTTATCGTTTGTGAATATAAAATTTATGTTTTCCTTTTTTGAAACAGTATTTCAAAAATGCTATGTAAATTTAAATGATATAGGTAACTGAACTTTGTGTTATGAACGAATATAAAGAAAATAGAAACATCAGTTTAGTAATCGATAATAACTTTTAGTTACTACTAAATCATCATATACATATGTATCGGGAAAATGTAACTATACTTGAGACCTTAGAACTTATATCTCAGAGGTGGGTGGCGCATTTACGTTGTGGATGTCTATGGGCTCCAGTAACCACTTAACACCAGGTGGGCTGTGAGCTCGTCCACCCATCTAAGCAATAAAAAAAAAATATGTCGTCAAAAAATGTTCAATTTAGCTACACGATGTTGCGACGTTGTGATGTAAATCTTATAGCGTGATCAGGATCGTAAGAACTTAGCGGTGGATTAGTGTTTTTTTTAAATAATTTATGATATCCATGATTAATTACACTTATGTCAATACACTAAAACGCAATGATGAAACAGTACAGTACATATCAGATACTCGAGGATCCTTCCTTTTAACTAAAAAGAAAATTGCAATTCATTCATTCTTGAACGCTGCGTGACTATTTCTAGCTCATTGCATTATTACGTTAACGATCACAGTTTTAGTACTAAAACCACATATCCGGTTTTACTCTTATTAAATTAAACTGAAGCTTTGGAATCTCGTAGTATGGTCTAAGGATATATAGGAATATGTGTGCTTAATTTTTTTTTAATTTCCTATTTATAATGGAGGAGTATCCAAGTCTCAATTTTCTTGTATAACGACACTCCCACCCTTGAAACCGGAACGCGTTACTCTTTTACGGCAGAAATAGGCAGGAAAATGATGCTCCATCGCCATGTTCGTTAAAAAATATACATGAATATTATTATTGCAGGTCTTTAAAATAATAAAATGAAACGAAAACTTATTTTCAATATGTTTTACTAATGCATAATTCATTTCTCTTCTATAATAATTATTAATCTTAGATTACGAGTATATCACAGTCATCACTTTAGTATGTGAATTTATTTACCTATTAATAATATCTAAGCTAAACAGAACAAATTGACTAGTATAATTTCACATTCTTCGACAAGAACTAAAATGCATTTTATTATAAAATCTAATAGTGGTGTTGTGCTCTATAATCAGTTAAATGTTTGTGCACGTGATTATATGTAGTTAGACATTATTATATCGTGGTAAATGAAAGCTATATAGTACTACGGCTATGTAGATGATTAGCTAATGTGTTTTAGCCGTATTAAATATTGCTCTACATCTATTTGTTAAGATTAATATTAAATGATTACATTTAGTAAGGAAGCTTAAAAATTTGTTCATTTTGAAATCATTTTGAATTTTCAACTTCGGTATATTCTTCTGCATATTAATAGTTTAATTGTTCTCTAATATTACTTAAATAAAAAATCTCCCAGCATCACGATATTAAAATTAAGAGCTTTTTTTTTTTTTTTTTTTTTTCCACAGGAGAAAATCGCCGGATCCCCACCCGCACGGCAGGTGGGGTATGTGGGAGTCGAACCTCACTAAAAACTCCTGCCGCTCACAGCCGGCGCCCTTCCCCGGACCGGGTGGGAACCCAGTCGGAGTTATTGAGACGGCGGGACAGGGTTTACGCAAAGCACATTACATCCATCCCGCCGTCCCCCAGACGCCGGACCGGCGGCCGCCAGCAACATGACCGCCGGTTCCCTCGGTCGACGGGCCAAGAGCCCGATTGATAGCGCCGCGCTACACCTTCCCCCGGAGCGGTCGGGGGAACGCGACCTACCACGCTGCCCCACGCCTAAGCTCCTCCCCGCACAAAGCGGGTGGAGCCCGAAGCTCTTAGGGGGCCGGGTTACGGACGGGACCCCGGTCCCGACCCCCTGCTCGGCGGCGGCGGGTTTCTGCGTAGTGAGGAGAGCTTTGCCTCACTCGCCCCGCCGCCTCCTTCTGCGAGATGGTGCACTCGCAGAAGTCGAGCATAGCCTTCCAAGACTCGTCGCCGCCAAGCATCGACGCCACGACAAAATTAAGAGCTAAATTAATTTCGAGATCATAAACAATTGTTAAGAATTTTTTATTAAGAAACAGCAAAAGACATGATAAATTCTTAGTGAGTAACAATAGAATATCTTTTAAAGATTTTAAAGCTAAGTTGATCATATTTGTCCTTAGTTACAAGATTGTCGCGCTAATAATTGACTACATTTTTTTCTGTGCTTACGCGTGACTTTTATTAGGCCATGGAATCATACAATAAATTACTTAAAATGAAATAAAACCTGAGCTGATATATACATAAGGTAATATCGCGCCAAAAGTAAAAGTTCATTTTCTATAAAAAATAATTTAAAATTGCGAATTTAATATCTTAAACGATATAAATCTTTTAATTTATATTTTTGAGCTACATTATATGACTTCAATTTTATTAATGAATAAAAAAACATTGCCTATTTTAAAAAAAATCTCTCACAAATTTGTCATCGCGATAACCTAAAATACTTACTACAAAGCATATCTATTTATATGAATTTCTCAAGTTGAATTTCTATACATAGAAGCCAGTAAATGTGATAGTCTGGCCTTTTTTTTTGTAAATATATTCTAACTACAATAGCCAATTACGATAATAATGATTTTACAAATCTACTTAAATGCAATTGATCCCATTCCAGGCATGATGATTGTTTTTTTTTACAGATTTACCTATCGATCGTTAATATATATTTCAATGAAAATATTAAATAATATTTGTGTCTAATTATCATTACAAGATATCATTTACGGTAAATACAATACTTATACGAGTCGACCATCAGTGTCGTTCAATTCGCTAGTTACATTTAACCGTTTAATGGACCCTTTCACTTATTCTGTACCATTTACGTACGTACGTACATCCACAACAACGCTTCACAGGTTTTTGACAGTTAATTTACTGAACACTTCGAGCCTTGACGTGTTTTCACTGGGCACGTGTTATGTTTGTGTCTGACGTTTGGCTTTGGTCGCAGTTGAGCCGCCTCGCAGGCGATTCCGGTCACCCTCAGAGATAGTTAGGTCGCGATACACAACAAAGTACCCCCATGCCTTTGTACAAGGATCCTCTTCGCTTATTCCTCCACAGTCCGTTGACGTCGTCACCTTTTAGAGCAACAGTAGTTTCTGCAACAATGTTTTTGATGTTAGAATACATTCATACTTCATTGTCTTCGATAGCTGCGAAGCTTGCCTTTTAGTTTTAAAAATACCACGTGAATATACAGAACGAAGCCATTTGTTCCACAGCCTCGAGAGCTGTATATAAAAGAATATTTTGCCCGCATTCGGGGAGCGACTGTTCTTAATGTCAATGGAAGACGTTATTTGGCATGAAGCTCATAATCCTTTTATGTAAATGGGAGCTTGTCTTTTCCGTTTTGTAACGTGTAATTTAGGAGTATTAAGTAGAAGAAAAAAAAATGTCATTACCTAAATGATTGAGGTTTTCATGTTGCGGAAGATACTCTTGAATGTCATTTACTATCCTCGTTATTTCTTGTGTGTCCTTTGCAATACTGCAGAGCTCTTCTTGGTTAAAATCTGGCGTAATCTGCTTGCACAGCAAGATTTGACTGATGACGTTGCCAAAGTTGGACGGACCGGCGCGATTTTCTGCATAATCATAAAATTAAAAGTGAAATTAACGTAAAAGTTTTTTAAAACAGTGCATCTTTAATGGGCGATGATCTTATATTTATTTATAAAATTTGACAGAAGGGTGAACGGAAGTTATGGGCTACCTGGGGTTTAAGGCTTACAGAACCTCAACGGCTTCATAAAGTGAATACCAACTACCATAAAACTTTCATATCGGCTGTCCCTTTTGTTAGATGCTGACAATACATGCTACTAAATACCAGTAATGCATTAAATCTTCTGAACATCTAATGAATCGGTAATAGATAATTGTCAATTTGTTTTTGAGTTCGTGTGAGTTAACTTTTGATAATTGTTCATCTAAATAATTTTAAAAGGTGGCGGTTTATTTCAATTACGAATTAAAAAAATGAGAAAGAAATTCTCAATTCATGACAAACGTATTTTTTCCGTAATGCAATATAATTGTTTAAATATTCGTCTGCCCATTTAGTCCAATATTAATGGTAAATAAAAATAAGTTAGCCTATTTATGAACTATGTTGCTTTCATTTGATGGTTAATATCTCACCGTAATATGAAGTCATATCCATTGGAACTAGTTGGACTAATCTGTGGCATTTGGCGAGCTCTCGCAGTAGTAGTTGTGACATGAAGTACAGCAGCACCAACTGTGGCTGCTCCGTGCAAATGTCATTGGTCGTGGACCTGCATTAAACAGAATTTTTTTCATATTGACCACGAACAAGGGAGGTTTTATTTTTCATAAAGGTAACATTTTTGGCGGAAAGCAACTTTTATAAAATGCTATTGAAATTTCGATTTTATGTCTCAACGTGGAGAGTGGAATTTTATTTGTGGGGCCTATGTGTTCTGATAGACGCTTAACAAAAGAATAAGATATAAATTATTGAAAGTAATTGTATGAAATGACTTATTAGGATGATGCATAAATATTATAATACACAAAAATTGGTAACTTCGTTAATTGAATTAGATATAACCAAGTGTTTGGCTTAACATAAAACACTGAATAACAGTTACAAACACTAAATAAATTACATACACTACACTAGCATAAATTTTCCTCTGAATGTTTAACCTTTCATAAAGTTCCATGTAAGGATTCCGGTTCAAACGAATTCCCATGCAAAACTAGGAACATCAAGCTTGTTATCAGTTGTGAAATCGGCACACTGAAAACATTTATTAGTTTCCAGTTACCGAGAGAAGTCAGGAACTTTACTGTCGTAATTAGTTCTCTTTCGATTTTGACTTCGAAACAAACGAATGGATCGCCTTTTGAAATGCAAATAATTGGGTAGATCACCATTCCACCGGCTATTCGAATTTACATAAATGGCGACAATTTCATTTTAAAATGTCTTTAGTACGCAAGGTTTTCATTGCTAAACAACTTTTTAGCTACATGTCGCTAGATTTATTTTCAAAAATCAAATGGTTCTCCTCAAATCCAAAATATTTCGTGATTGGACATTTTCTAAAATGTTTTCAGTTTTTACTCAGTTTTTGTAATCCACTTTTAGAGGAATACTAAATTAGTATTTGACACGTATCGGGAGCATTCGATTTAGATTTACGAAATTTGGCCGCCATTGTTTAAATTTTCTAAAATTGTATTGTTTTCCACCCAATTTAATACATATTTACGTTTCAAGCCCAGGAGGCTACGCAGCCGTTCGATGTTGAGTCTGTACTATGTTGTCAAACACAGTAAATTGGTAAACTTCTCAACAATGGGATATTTGTTGTACGTTAATAATTATAAAATTCTAATTTAAGTGGACATAAATTTTTTCGTGGTTTATAAAATTTAAAAGACATTTGGAACAAATATACACAGAATGATCTTAAAATTATGAATTTTTGTTTCAAAGCTATCATACGTCGGTGAAAGAAAATAATTCTTCTCATATTGTTTTTGTAATTGCTTCGTTGGTTTAATAGTTAGTAACACTGATTACGGTACTACGGAATTGAGATTTGATTCTCAGTTGCAGTCAATTCATTTCTCTGTTAAAGTAATTTAGTATTCGAAAAGGCCCCCGGACTAGTTGCCTGGCTACTTTTTTTTTTTTGTTATGAATATACAGGACACACGTCCTTTATCATGGAAGAACATGTTTGAGGCTCATTAAACGGGAAAATATTTCTTGTGATATTTGTAATCGAGTATTATTTGTGCTCCGACTTGAAGTTCTGTTGCTTCTTTTTATTTGAAACCGGTTAAAAACTGACGATCTAGTGATATATGACCCCATTCAAGTTGGCTACCATATGAGACGCTGAACGACGGGTAAGATATTTGCAAAGTCTTGAAGATTTTTACTATTAAGATAATGTTTGTGTAATTATTGAAGTTATTTACTTACTTTTTACAATTAGGCAGAACAAGTTGACTTGTTTGTTTGGTTGCTTCGACGCAAGCTCGTCGAAGGCGCCGCACGCGTTCCCGCAGCTCAGGGCAGTCGTGAGGCTGGCCGAAGTGTATCAGCAGATCACGAAATAAAGCCAGTTGCACGTTGATTTCCGTTATCAGCTGTGCAAAATATAATTTTTAAAGTTACGAAAAATTTTGAAGCACTTAAGAGCGCTGTAGCTCAATTTTTAAGTCATTCGCTACTAATATCGAATGATGAGTCTGTGCTGTCATTCATGTTCTGGGAAATATCTAATGTTCCGGCCTACGTACCTAATGTGTGTTCATCATCTAATGTCGTGCGGTAAAAATCAAACCTGGATGACTTGTATCGGAAAGCAGCCATGTGTTTTAGTTTCAAAGGTAGGAAAACGCGCAATTGACATTTCAGATTGTGCCATGTCCCTGACTGATGGTATGCGCGCTTAACAGGCTAGCTACGAAGCAATTGATCCCGTTTCAGACATGATTAGTAATTTTTTAAACAGATTTATCCTCGTTTATATATTTTACCAAATTTATCCTTCCCTCATATCTCAGTATATGAACGAATTTCTTATGCAAACAAATACATACTTACATTGTTTGCCGTGTATATTCTATTTCAATGCTTACTACCTTCAACATTGTAACAAATATTACGATTACAGAAACCTATTTCAAAGTTCGCTTCAATTCTCCGATAAATTGTATATGTGTAACAGTTTTAGCGTTTACAATATAAACTGTATTGCGAGAAATCGCGTCAAAATCACGTAACACGTCCGAAATGAGAACTTCCTTATTAAATTTAATATTGACAGAGGCAGAGTTCTTAAATTGCATTTTGCATTAGTTCAGTTATGTGAATAGATACAATAGATTATACAATGTACTCCTAGAATACTGATATGTATAATGTTAATTTTCTGATGATGGAATTACCTCTTTTTTTTCCTAACTATGCTGATAGCCTTGAGAGGCCATTTTAGCTTCACCCTAACGTGTAGGTGAGCTCACGGGGCTCAAACCGGAGTGTTGCTAACACTGGCCCTAGCAAGAGCAGTGCTTCGCGGAAAATACTACCGGATCGAAAACGCGACCCACTGAGAAGATCTGGCGAGAAACTCAGTGGGCTGTCTGTGTCTGTTAGTTAATTCGCTCGTCGAGCCCTTCGTCGCAAGCGACGGGTTCGACGAGGACGGTGACCGGTGCTTGTGGTACCGAAAAGCACCGGCAATGGATCGGAGAATTAGCGATGCGTGGAGGTCTTTACAGCTTTACCAGAAAAGTTGGGCGAACTCAAAGGTCTACCTGTGAGGAGGAAGGGGGTGACTTTTCGAAGAATACGATGATGGAGTACGGTGATCCGTGTATTGCTTATTGTTAGTACTAGGACTAGAACCATCGAACAGCATCGAACGTTTTAAAAGAGCATGGCCGTGATTTTCTCGGGGCTAACTTCGATGTACTTACTACCTGCGGAACCATTGTACTTTTAGCTGTTTTAGTTTAGTAGGAATTTTAACTCCAGCCGCGGTTTGAAGCATGATTAAAAATTTGTTAATGCTGGATTAGTAAAAAAAGGCCTATCGTCAGCGAAGGTTGCTAGCTAGGTGGGGCCGCCGAGGAATATAATTAATATAGAGGAGCAAGGAGTTAATTGAACTAAGTGGCACTCCGGCTGTGGAGAGAACGAGATTCCACGATCCGATATTAAAATGAACTTACATACTGTAAAAATGAATTAAACTAATAAATTAGACTAGAAGAATTAAACATAAAATATTATTTTGGTTGATAAAAAAAATTAATAATTTCAGTATGTAAATTGTAACAGTCTGATAAAGCAACTAGATAAATACAACGATTTTGAATCAAAACTGTAAATCAGATAGCTGATAATAATGATTACAAAAGATATAAAATTTCGGTCATATGAAGTGGGCTCTTTGAAAAAGCACATGCCGTTTTTGCATTTGAATAAAAATAATATTATTTAAAATATAAAAAGAAAAAGGAATGTCTAAATTAAGGTATCTGCGTAGGTTTCTGTAGCTCATTATTGGTCCAGAAATAACCGATTCTGAAAAATATTCAGTCGTTCGTGCACCAATCCCAATAATTCCGCTAGCGTCTTAATTAAATATATTCTCTTCGACTGGTATAGACTATAGCGGCGCAAGAAAATGTAGCGACTCAATCAGACGTAAATGCTTCAATATATCTACGTATTGTAATCAATTACGTTTAGGGACGTGGAAATCAAGTGACAAAACGGAACGATACGTATTGCATTTTCGACTTAATGACTTCTTTTGGGTCATCGCGTTAGTGCGATAGTAAAGACTAGAGTTCCCGCAGTAGTCGAAATTCGACTATAATTAATTGGGATTGTAAGTTTGTACACTATTATGATTGTATTTTATCCTTCTATAATCACAAATTTCGGCAAGACTACACTATAAAAAATATTAACAAAGACAAAACTATTTAATCTCAACTTGACAACAGACGTCAAGAATAAAAGTTTGACAATAAATAGTATGCATGCGTGTTGCGTCAAATACATGGTACGTAGTGTGTGTAATGTTTTCTTTATTGATTTTATGTATCTTTTAAGCATTATTTTAAAAAAAATATTAGCATTGTGCACTTCTTCTCTATATTCTCTATAAGTGTGGAAAATTTCATATTCCTCCGTCCCCGCAATTTTCGTAAAAAGGGATACAAAGTTTTTGTGTCACGTATTAATATATAGATTACTTTAAATGGTAACAGCAGCTTACTGATGTTGAGAAAATGATAACTGGTTTCTTCTATTTCGTGTTTAATAACGATAACAAAGCGACGTAACTGTAACATAAAATCACGAATGAAAATAAACCGAGTACGTAGTTGATATTCCGGAAACTATAATACAGTGTATTTATTGAGATTCTTTCAATTAAAAGACGAGTTTCGAACAATAACCGCCTCGTTTCGAAATTGAGTTCGAGTTTCAGTAATCTAAATAATAAACAAACTCCTCCTTCCTTGACAGACGTTCAAGGAAATTTACTCCATAATGATTGCGTGAGGCCTCATTATTTAATGAATGTCACACGAAAACGTTCGTAGCATGATAGAAAAACATAAAAAGCGACATGTTTATGATAACAAGTCCGATTATAACGTATTGGTTTTGAATTTATTTACTTAGTATCAGAATATGGGGCCTTTTACGTTGAAAGATTTACTCTAACTAGTGGCCCCGTTGTAGTCGAAATCGACTATAATGAATTGAAATTATAAGTTTGAACATTATTATGGTTCTATTGTCAAAGACTTCTACAGTCACAAATTCCGCCAAGACTACACTATAGACAAATAATATTAAAGACACGATATTAATCTATTCTCAATTTGACCGCAGACATAAAACAAATATACATGAGTGTGTGTGTCAAATACATGGTAGTGTGTGTAATGTTTTCTTTATTTATTTAATGAATTTTTTTATGCACAATTAAAAAAAATATTTGTGTTCTGCACTCCTTCTCTATATTCCCTATAAGTGTGAGAAATTTCATACTCATCCGTCCTCGCAATTTTCGTAAAAAGGGGTACAAAGTTTCTGCTTCACGTATTAATATATACATGCTTACTTCAATACATAATCAGACGAAATAAGAGATTTCCAACTACGTTTTCTGGCCAATGACTAAATTAAAACAGATTGTATAAATTAATATCGGAGTACGAATTAACAAGAAAAGTTTCGTTTAATTAACGTACGAACTGAAGCGTGAAAACGAAATAAACAAAAGATTTTCTTTTATTTTATTTTTGTAGGGATACAGGAGCGACGTACTTAAATGAGCCGTGTGTGTTTGTTCAAATACCGATCGCGTTTACATTTTAGATTCCTTATGTGTGAACTCACCGCAAAAATATTATATTTGTACTGATTAGAATACGAACTGAATATCGTTTTGGAGTTCTATAATCGAATGAATTGATTTATAATTTAAATCAGTGGCAAATATCGTGTAATAAAATGTCCAATACACTTATTTAGAAAAAACGAAGAGTTCGTGTCTTAAAGGATAAAACGCCTGGTCTTCATTTATCGAGTGAGGCGACTGTTACGGCGTACAAATCTCGCTCTCGCGTACAAATATACAAACTTGTAATCGAATACATACGTGGTTTGTTAAATAGTAAGTATTGGGCTCGGTAGAGTGATCTGTGCAGGGTGGCTGGCAGGAACTGAATGAGAGAAGCCGAGGATCGTGCTCAGTGGCGAACAATTGGAGAGGTCTATGTCCAGCAGTGGACTGCTATAGGCTGATGATGATCTATCTATATATCATCTATATATAAAAATGAATTGCTGTTCGTTAGTCTCGCTAAAACTCGAGAACGGCTGGACTAATTTGGCTAATTTTGGGCTTGAATTATTTGTGGGAGTCCGGAGAAGGTTTAAAAGGTAGATAAATAAGAAAAGGTTGGAATTAAATAAAAATAACAATTTTGTTTTTCCTTTGATGTGATCGTCCCCCATCCGTCGGATTCCTTTTGTTTGTTTTAATTTTTTTTATACAAAAGTTTAGTTCTTTTATTTATCGATTGAAGAACTACGAAGTCTGCCGGGTCAGCTAGTTGTCTAATAAAAATAAAAGCGTGCACACGATATTTAAAGTATTTAACTAGTAGAGGTAAGGCATGTTGTGAGCCCGCCCGAATCGGTATCAGAACCCTATCTGTTTTTGCTGTGAAATTTCATGCCTTTCGCTTTAAAGGGTTGGAGTGTTGGCATCGTATCAATTATGACTTCGAACTTAGACCTTAAAACGGAATTCACGTCCATGAGCTCCGGTAAAGAATTAATTGTGAGCCGTGAGCTCGTCTGGCCCAGATACGCCCATGTACGAAAACAATAAAAATGCATTTGCGATTTAAAAAAAAAACACGTAACCGTAATAAAATCCCGTGTATAACCTTCGAAATTGCACAGTAAAGTGATAATTCAATGTCGAGCTTTGCTGAGTGCCACGTTCCAATTTATTATTCAATTGGCGATTTTTTTATAAAATTTTGATTCTCCGGTATAATACCGAATACGCTAAATCAATTAAAAATTCTAACGATTTCTTTATTCTTAATTCGTCTAGTACTCAAGATGAAAATACAAATGAAGGCTCGTTCAATGCATCTTCGGAATTCCAAATAATTTGCAGAAAAGCTAACGCATCGGTAGTGCCCCTCAATTTATTTTAGTGGTGGTAGGACTGTTTGGTATTTCTATAGCGAAGCGGTAATGGGATTGAAAGTCAGGTCCGAGGTGTGAGACTGTCATGGTGTTATTATACTCGTACAGCATGGAAGGCAGCGGCTTGGCTTTGCATCTGGCATTGTTGACGTCCTTGAGCGACGGTAACCGCTCACAATCAGGTGGGCCATGTGTTCGTCCGCCTACAAAGGCAATAAAGAAAAACAAGAAAATGAAACTTTGACGTCTCAACGTGAGTGGCGAAAACAAAATATTTTTTCGTAATATTTTATTTTATCATTATGACATATTTAGTTCCTATCACAATCTGTTCTTTTCTGCATATTACTTTTACAAAATAATGTTGATGTTTCACATCTGCCATGCGTCCCGTGACGGCTCACATTTTTTTTATTACGCTTTTAAGTTCAGCTTTTTAATTTGCTTTCTAAAAACTTTTCTTTCGCGTTCGTTAACTAAATATGGGCGATTTTTAAAACGGTTTTAATTCGATTTCTTGTTTACTTGCCTATTTGTTGGACGCAAGTGTTTCGGTGCCTTTCAAAGTTCCTTTCTGATGAGATTTGAACATTCAACATGGCTGACAACAGAACGAAACCGTAATACTGAATTGTTTACAAGCATGAGATTAAAACGCTGGAATTCATTACTCTTTCCATAAAGACGAGAGGCACAATGACATGTAATATATATGAGAGCAGTGTACGAATACTCACACAACAGTTCAGATCTAATGTTAAGTTATATTTTTAAACGTAGATACAGGGTGTAATCAATTAGTACATAACAGAATTAATGCCGCCCTCCACCGCCTCGAGATCGCAGACCTAATTGTATTTGGACAACCGCTGTGTACACACTTAAATTGTAAAATTTGACTATTTACCAGACTCTGAATACTCAGGGTCTATATATCTGTGGTCGATAGCAAACATTTATTACTCAGGTACCGGGTATTGTAGATAATTAACAATGTTTGAATATGTTTTCATATTTTATCATAAAACGAGGTCTCAGAGTAGTTATTGGCGTTAGCTGTGTACCTGGTCTTACTTATGTCCATGAACGAAGGCGGCTACTCCTCATTAGGTGCTCCGTGTGACAGCAATAAAAAAAATCTGCCTCAAAAAATAATAGGACTTCTTTTCATTCTGTATCGTCGATATATTTCCTTACTTGTAATTAATATGTACTAAGAAGGACATATTACTCTAAATTAACTAATTCAATTTTATTATAATTAAAGCTTACTAAATAATTTTGGAGTGACACACTTTCATAATCACATAATATACAAATATAGGCACAAATTTTGTTAGACCTACATTCGTGGAACATAAAAGATGTGCTCAACGTGAAAATGATCAGATAACTCGTTATTCAGTACCGGTGACATTAAGGTGTAAAGATATGCGATGCGTACGTGATATACAGACATTTACCTTACAGTCGAATCTGATCCTTATTTGATGGGTTTTAAGCTGGAATTTGACTGTAAAAAGCTTAGGTTTTCTATGACGAAAAGGAAAATATTTTCATAGTCTCTGATTTGTTAAATTGAATACATGGCACAAATAAAATATTTCACTTAAAATACAGTAGTAATGCAGTAGTAATAGTGAGATCGAGTGTAGGAGCAGCAGGGACGAGCTATTAACTAAAGCTGGCTGGAGATTCGCGAGCTCCTTGCGTCCAGTTCGTCACCGTACATATTCGCAGTAATGCTGGTTTTTTTATGTGTGAGAAGTCACTGGTGGCCCGGAGGCCTTTCCAGTTTTATCAGGACAGATGGGCGAGCAAAGGCTCAGCCAGGAGGGGTGGGATTTGCTAACAGCTGCCCAAGCGCCTCCAGTAATGCTGGTGCCATTTGTCAATTCAAGCTGTGATAAATGGTACCGGCACTAGACCACTAAACAGTGATCAAAAGTTTTTAGGCGTATATTTTCGCTTGGGGCATTCCCTAGGTGCTGAATTAGGGTCTAACCAATATGATAACCGGTTACAATTATCTAAAAGAATCCCTTTTTTACGAAAAATGACAGCGACAGTGACAGATTCAAAATCCCTTTATTTCTGTATGTGTTAAGAAATCCAAGGCGTATGTACCTTAACGCGTTCGTCGCGCTGGCGATCGTTTAATTCGTGCGGCACCCACTGATCAAGTTTTTTTACTTTTCCAATTCGACCCTTTTTTTTTACTGCTTGGATGGGTGGACCTGGTTTTAAGTGGTTACTGGAGCTCATAGACATCTATAACGTAAATGCGCCACCCATCTTGAAATATAATTTCTAAGATCTCAGTATAGTTACAGCGACTGCCCCACCCTTCAAACCGAAACGCATAACTGCTTCACGGCAGAAATAGGCAAGGTCGTGGTACCTACCCGCGCGGACTCACAAGAGGTCCTACCACCAGTAAGTAACATATGACCCAATATTGCTTTGATACTAATCTTGAAAGCTGCCGCTAACTCAACGGTTCTGTCTACCGTATCGTCAGCTTTGACTATCGCCTTTAATTCGTCGTTTACTTTAGTTTTCGGGCGACAAATTACAGTTCAATTTTTAGGTAAAAAATTTCATGTCGGAAGTTATCAAACCAATAATGAGTCGTGCGTTTTTTTGTAGTGTTCACTCAGTAAACATCATTAATGTTTGTGAACCATTTGTGCGGTATTGCTACTGCGATGGAACTCGTATCCCGGTAATTACTCGTATTTTTATCGTGTCCATATTGATGAAAAAGATACAAATGTATTGAAAACAGAACACTAATCAACACATATATGTATTCTATACCTTTAAAGTGAAATTCATTTGAATTTACAATTTATTGCGAGCTATACATAAATCACGTTCCAAATAGCCAGTATTGTAAAACGGTAACTTTATAGGTAAAGATCTATTATTTATATTACCCGCTCTAGGATCGGCCATTGTTGCTATTGTTCATTAATTATAATAAATTAAGGCATGGTTACAAACTGAATTTACACACCCACACACACACAAGCACATACACCCACACACAAAATTGCGGTATATATCTTAAAGGTTAAATACACTGTAATTAGTTTCGGAACAGAACAAGTTAGAATTATTATTAAAATATTGTTAATCATATAAATAGCTGTTTTAGATATATTGAGTATTCTTAAAAACATTTCAGCCTAGCATACAAAATTAAAGATGGCATAAGAGAAAAAAATTGAAGCAGCGATCTCTGCAAAGAGCTTATTGCACCAATGCGGAAATACGACTTCTCATGAAAAGCTTCGGCTTCAGTTTTATTTGTCGAAGCGGAGAAAAGATTTGGATACGAAATTGAAGTAGCGATATTAGGGAGAAATAATGTTTCAGTGGTTACCCTAATAAAAAGGGATTCTAAATCTTTTCCGCGGTTTAATTAAGCTCTTGAAAAATCTTCGTTTTTTTTTTACTTTTCGATCCCGAGCATTAGGTTTGGGTAGAAAAATAAGTTTATCCAGGCGATTTCGAATAACATTCTTGGGGCCGCGGTCTGCTCCCAACAACTGGATATCGTCAAGTCATCACACAACCCGCGTGCCCCCTAGGCGCGGATACCTCGTATGAGGTTCGCTCCCTGCCCAAAAAGAAAAGGCTAATTCGAATACCGGTTTGCTCTGATTAATACACACATGCCGCAAATTCTGTTGTCACGCAAGTTCCTCTATTATTTTTACTGGTGGTAAGTACTATTATGAAGCCTCCACGGATGACTGGTCTAAGTGATTCCAGATATTATGACGCACTTTCACGAACTCGTAACGACTGGCTTAGTATTTATAATATATTTATTATGTATTGCGTGGACAGATCAACAAGTCCACATAGTGTTATGTAACCATGTCGAAAGCCACTTGAGCCCATTAAGATCACGATTTAAATTCTACCACCGACATTGAGACATGAGGTCTGAGCCCCGATTGTGTAGTATAGAAACTGTCCCGCCGTTAAACCGGAAAGTATAACTGCTTCACGGCAGAAACTGGCAGAGCGGAGACGCCTACCTGTGCAGGCTCATACCACGCCCTACACCAGCCATTAGGATAATTCAATTTATTTTGCGGATTCCAGTTTTATTACTCGATAATATTTCTTTATCGTGAAAGTCATTTGTGAAAATATCTCGAGTACATATTTCATTATTGTCGGATTTGATATTGTGGTATATTAAATTACAAATAAATACTAAATAAATAATATTAATAATATTAAATAATAATAATAATAATTTCATAACTAAAATATATTATTAAAAGGAGTCGCTTTAGGCAAGGTTCCGAAGATACTGGCAGCGTTCCCCCTTTGAATAGCTAGACTAATTCTTTGTCTAAGGTAGCTGCCAGCTCTTCGGTCTCCTGTGATGTCAACTAACTTTTTTGCTATTTCCTTAAAAAGCCTTATAGCACTATGACCGCACGGACCAAGGGTCTCGACACCGAATGGGATAAAAACATATTGTGGTATATTAAATTCACTATGAGATTTGAACACTGGCGTGGTGGCCACAACGACTAATTTATATTATTTAATCCTTTGACTGCCGTGTAGGTCTGAAGTAAGTATTTCGAATTCTCTTACTAAGCTGGATTGCCAACTTTACCGTCTTTTGTTTGTTAATGTATGTTTTAATCTTTTAGGTCTCTTATAATATAATATATTAGTTTCAGTATCATTGGATTTGTCTTTTCCGGAATCTACTAGATATTCCAGTGCCTTAGTAAGAAAATCGAAGAGAGAAATTGAAATATTACTTCAGGGCGCCTCGTAGGGCACCGGTGACCTACATGACAGTCAACGTGCTAATACATATATATTATACTTACTGAAGAAGCTGTTGGCTCTGACTCACGATGGTAAGTAGACAGATGTCGAGTAGGTCCCGCCATAGTGACGTCACTTTACTACATATTACTAGGTTTATTGCTTCTAAAGTAATTTAAACCAATTTAAATTCACTTAGTTCTTGCATTGTAATCTAAAATTAAATCTTTATTCGTTTTCCACTTTGAGATTCATTAGGAAATTTCAGATTTAAAACAGGTTAAAAATTTATTATGAAATTAATTACGTATTTATCTTTTAGGAAAAATAACTACCGTATAATTACACAATTCGCGGGTTGGCCGATATTTGATTTTAGAAATATAACCGATTACTCAATTAATATTTTTCTGAAATCATAACAGTAAATTTCATGCTAGAAAGAGAAAATGTGTAAAGACGAGAGAGAATACGGGCCTGGTACTCGTTTGACTACCCGATGGTGAGTGATTAACGTTGCTCATGGAAGTCAGCAGTACCAGGGGAAAAGCCAAGTCGCTATCTACCGTTGAATATACATATATAAATGTATTATATAAATGAAATATGTTTTATTATAACTAATCACATCATTACGACCGAAATTACGACCGAAGCTAATATTGTAGGAAGACCAAAATACGCTTTGCAGAAATAGGACAGAGCTTCCTTTCTAAGCCCCACTTAAAAACTTTATATGTTTATACCCTAGAATACTATAGAGCGATTGGAATTATTTCGTCGATGATGTACTAAATGTAATTCGATTTTAGATCTAAATAATTTTTTACTATTGCTTAGATGGGTGGACGAGCTTACAGCCCACCTGGTCTTAAGTGGTTACTGAAGCCCATAGACATCTACAACGTAAATTCGCCACCCACCTTGAGATATAAGTTCTAAGGTCTCAAGTATAGCTATTATTATAGTTATATATTACAGTATTTAAATAAATAATTTCATCAAATATCTTTGCTGTTGTAACGAAACATCTTTTTATGATACGAACAGACGCACTAAAGTGAAACTAGATAATAATATGTTTTATTACAGACGCAGGCGTAGATACTCAGTTTGTAGTGACGTGGACCAGAGCGGATGATATCCATGATCGGCTTACGTCCCTTGTTGTAGGCGGATTAGCGCCATTTATGAGATCGGACACTGGCTTTGTGGAATACAAGAGTTGTGAGTGTTTAATTTTTTACCAAGATACTTTGGGGATTGTCTCTGATGAGGATACTTTTTTTGTTATATACCCACTAAAACGGGAAAATTTATCATATAGCACTGAAAATTATTTTGCCACGATTCTTTTATTAAAATAATAATAGATTATTATTTCAATTCAGATGGAGATCGTAGTCGTTATTTCATCTCTTTATCTATGAAATCGGATAAAAATAAAACCCTTTTTTTTTTTAAAATACCAGTTCAAAATAACTGATACGGTTGTTTCTTTTTTAAAGTTTTAAGGTTTAACTTTATAGGTCAATTCTCTATTTTAAGAGTAAAAAAATATAAAATAACATAATATAATGTTGCGAGATTTAATAATTGGATGAAAAGCTGTTGGCCATTTTTTGTATGTAAAAAATTAGTCACAGAAAATTTAGTCTAACATTAAGAGAATATCTAGAAACGGTGACCTTTTTAAATATATAATGAAGATAAAGTTGAAAAAAAGTTTCAGATACATTGAAATAATACAATCTCAATGTTTCATACAAAAACACATTAGATAGTCTTAACCTTAATATTTCTGTTTTTCACAGGGGAACGCTTTTAATGTACAGCACTAAAACTTTTAATGCGAAATAAGACAATTCCCGGAGGATAATGATGTGTAGTGAATGTTTTTCTAATTTAAATATTCGTGACTCTCAATTTCTGAGATATTTTATACCTTTAAACAAGAAATTCTTGTATATTAATATATGTATATATAATCTAAATCTCGGAAACGGAAAATTTAGTATACAGGGGATTTCGGGGGCGATAAATCGATCTAGCTAAGATTTATTTTCAGAAAATGTTGTTTTATTCGTGTTTTCAATAATCAACTCTTCCCGACATCTATTGGCGGATAATAATACTATTGAGGGTAAGTAACCGCTTTAAAGACACAACAAAGCAAAGCTCGGTCATCATCTAGTATGAAAAAACTAAACCTGACAAAGTGGTTCGAATGTCTTCGAGTCACGCTATTAGGTATTACAGGACGTAGTACGTTTTTTGTGAAGGCCTACTTTCTTCGATCATAAATATCTTATATATTTATCAAAGGTACATCACCTTTGTAAAAATTCAGGACGTGAAAAGACACCATCCGAAAACGAAACGGGAATAAATTACTAACTTATGTAGACAAAAAAAAAACATTTATTAATATACAATTCAGACTTAACCTCCGAACTTATATATCAAGGTGGGTGGTGACGTTTACGGTGTTGATGTCTTTGGGCTCTAGGAACCAATTAACTAATAGCTAATAACCATTAATAGTTCACCTTCCTGTGAAATAAATAAAAAAAAGATGTGTGGTAGCGTGGGACACCGGATAGGAACGAAGTTCCATATTATAAAAATAATAATTTTAAGTTCTATTCGAGGTATAAAGAAAATGATTCGGGTGTACATTTTTTATTATGATTTTTTTTATTGATAAACATAAAAATAACCGAAAGGGTCAACCACTCCGCAGTGCAATGAAGCAGCCTCGCCCTGGGGGAACCGCCTGCATGATCACGGTATCCCTCTACGCCAGGTAAGTATGATTTAGCAAGAGAAATACGAGAACGTCTATCAACTGTGTAACGTCTCACCGCGATTCAAGATTTGTTGAATTTATGTGCAGCGATATCTGTTGATAACAAAGTAAATAGAAAAATCTTACGTTACGGACGTTTTTTCCCGGTTAGAGTACCCCTCCGCATCGTCCCATAAGAAACTTTGTTCCAAAAGAAACGTAAGTATAAATACCTATCGTATTGATCAGTAAAATTTTACTGAACCAGTAATGTAGTTCAAAAAGAACTCGCATCCACTTTTCGCGTTCTCTCAAGGCCTTAAATCTCACGAGTTAGTAGAATTTTTATAATACATTGCGTGTTATGCAAAATACATTTAAAAATTACATTTTTAAGACATAATTTTGACTTCCATCGTGTTGGAAATCATCAGCTGTCTTAACTATTCGTTTTGTTGGACGGTTTCAATACACCCTACAAACAACAGAGGTAAGATGCTAGTTAATGCGTACATTGAGGTTCAATCAAACACTAATTAGCTATTTAAATGAAATTGTTAGAGTGACTATTAAACAGTAACACGAAATGATCGAATCGTAATGATGGAAAAAGAATTTATTTGGAAACAGCTAGGAAAGCAATTGTTTTTTTTTATTCGAATCAGTGTATTTTTTCAGAGTCAGGGTGTTTTGGAAGCGTCGGTGGATATCATAATACTTCTTATTTCAGCCGTGAGCAAAACGTTAGATCCAGACTGAAGGGTTTATTTTTAATTTTTATTACCCTTGTAGGCAGACGAACATACGGCCCACCCGATGGTGAGTAGTTACCGTCGCCCACGGATGTCAGAGATGCCAATTACAGAGTCAAACTGCTGCCTACCGTTAGGCTTTATTTGTCAATAATACTGACAGTTCCATTTCACGTCTCTATTGCAAGGCGGTATTTACCTCGCGATGTCGCGATGTCGTAATGCAACGAAAACCGATTGCGGGTTGTACATTGTTGTACCATCAAGACAAAGGATTGCTTTCCGGTAGCATTCCTGGGGTTCACCGTTAGTGGTGATCCATTACCATACGATAGAGCCCGCTTATTCTCTCATAGAAATCAAGGAAATATATAGAATGTTAAAATTTTATGATTGTGAGCAAAAACTAGTTGAATTTGTAATAAGAACAAAAAAAGTTACACTTCTGCCAATCTAGTGTTATAATGTCAACACGATGTATCGACTCGTGTTTCAATCAATAATGCCAGCAGCTCTGTAACAGATAATAATTTATATCTGCTCATATTTCTATATGCTGCACAGCGGTTGCGCCCTCACGGCTTCTAGTTTGGTGATATAACAAAAAAAAAAAACTTTTATCTCTCAATTATAAAAAAGCGAAACCTAAATTTATTCTTAAAATAATAATTAAAAAAAAATACTTCAATGTATTATAATTAAAGTTTACTCGATAATTATTTCGATTATTGGTGGAGGAGCGTATTTTAAGCACGCGCGGTTGGGTACCATCAACCTGGCTATTTTTGCCGCAAAGCTATCACGGGTTCCGGTTAAGAGGGGGAAACGAACATTAAACTGTATATTTGAGACTTTAACGTTTTGTCTCAAGGTCCCAAGGTGCTATGCCGCCCATTCACGTTGTGATGTCTGTTGGGTCCGGTCACCACTATACACTAGGTTGGTCATGCACTCGTTCACCCATAGCCCACCGAGTTTCTCGCCGGATCTTCTCAGTGAGTCTCGTTTCTGATCCGGTGGTAGATACTGCGAAGCACGGCTCTTGCTAGGGTTCGTGTTAGCAACGTCATCAGGCTTGAGCCCCGTGAGCTCACCTACTAGCTCGGTGACGCTGATATGGTCTCTCTAGACGATCAGCTTAGGTAGGGAAAAAAAAGTTCAACCATATACTCAATAGATATATGAAAAAATTTAAGAGCTAATAAACTACTTGACCCATACCTTTTCATGTACAACATTTACAGTTTGATCTACCCTTCTTAAGGCTAAACGATGCTACAGCTCTCAAAACCCTAAAGTATTCGATAAATCGAAAATTATAAAATGGAAATAATAAGCCCGACATTAAACTCTAACATTAGTTTTAATCATACTCATATGATTCTCCTAAAATAATTAGAAGATCGTATAATAGGACTGAAAAATATTTATATTTTAAAAGAGTATTTATCAAAAAGTGTCGAATCTGACAGAATCAATAAATTGTGGTAGTTATAGCCTAATGTTTAGTTTACGTTGAAATCTAAGCTAAATGTGAAAAACAACCTTCCGTAATTATTCGGTTTAAAAAAATATATAAATTAAATAGTAAAAATTGTGGTAATAGCCGTCGGAAACTTTTGTGGATAAAATTATTCGGCCGCCCGCGAACATTAAAATTACTGTCACTTTCGCGCGAAAGACAAGGGATGACCCGGAATGAATTACAAGATATTTCCATGACAAATGTTCCGACTTCAGAATTTTGGGTACGCAATGTTTTTAAATTTTAAATGAACCGAGATAACAAACAGATTTTATTACGTATAACTTTTGTAAGAACAAGTTAATCCGTTTATTTAGTACTTAATACCTCAAAGGTTCATTCTGTGATTTTGTTAAAGTCTGAGAAATCTAATTTGGTAGAGATAGCTGTAATTACGTTCCCGATCACGATTTTACCGAAGTAATTATGTCTCCTTGACCCTTCAATAAATCGTAATTAATCGAGATAAATATGTATTACGAACTAATCGTCGAGTAGAAACAACTTATTCTGTGAATTCATTGTGTGAATGTAAAGTCAAGCGCGCACTTAATTAACACAAACCGATAAGATTTAATTTTCTCTAAGCGTAAAATTCCTCAACAATTATAAACTACAAAAAATATTGTTCAGTGTTAATCTATCCGAGATAATTCTTTCTTGTCAATGCTTACTTAATTTAGTTTGAGTGCTTGCGAGAAACAAACATATATTCAATATTTTACTAAATACATATAAACAA